TTATATTATATATTTAACCCTAATCTTAGTATATTTTAGCTCTTAATTTGGAAGAATTTTGATACTTTGAATTGTATTTCCAATATAGGACTTTCAAATTCCTCTGGATCAAAACATAATCAAATGGATGGATTTTGGAGTAATTCCAATTGGAGGATGCTTGTGAGTCACTCGGCTTGATCGTGTCATGATATCAGATTTTTCCACCAAGTAGTTATTTTCTGGCAATAAAATAAAGGAGCATTGCATGGTGCTAGAAAGTGACGTTTCTAGGCTTTAATTGCATTTTTGGAGCCCAAGATAACCTTGGATGAGTTTGTAGCCTTCTGGAGATGTGTTCAGAATGTCCTGATCTTCAAAACAAGCAATCATGAGCCAGATTTGGAGGATATTTCAGGTTAAAACGTGGCTGGACAGTTTCCTTGCAGATTCTCCTAGCTCAATTAGGATTTTATTTTCTAAAATAATTTAGTTATTATTTGGTTTCTAGTTGGAACAAAAGACTATTTTCTAGGGTGTGTGCGTTGGTTTTTAGGCGTAGGATATAAAGCCTTGTAGTTCACAGTTTTTCCTTTCACTTTCTTTTATGAAACTTAGGAGACAGAGAGAATTGCTAAGGTTTTTGAAGATTTTTTACTTCAAGGTGTTTTCATTCTTATTCATTTTAGCGATATTTTCTTTGATTTTTATTATGAGTATGCGTAACTAATTCCTTTGCTAGGGTTAGGCCATGAGCCTTAGTAGGAATATGTAATTTTATTAATTTTCTTTGTGAATGGATGCATGCTTGGTTTGAATTATTAATCACCGCGATTAAAACTATTTATATATTTTAATGATTGATCACCATTAGGATTAGACCTGGCATTTGTGTCATGTTTTCTGTGTTCATATTATACCCGATATCTTAACGGGTCGTGTCGTGTAACACCCGTTAAAATAAACAGGTAAAATGACCCAACCCGAAATCGACCCAGTAATATTAATAGGTAAAATGACCTGATCCGTTACCCGTTAAGAAAAATATATTTTAAACCAATAAATAATCAAATGAAAAATATAATACTAAATAAGCATATACATATCATATTGTCACATCCAAAACATAAAAATGCATTTTTCTTTTTAAGTATATTTTTGCTTACCTAAATTGATCAAATGGTAAAATTGGAAAATATTGGAATAGAGAAGGGGTTTTTTTTCGTCCAAAAAAGTTCTAATAATATAAGTGAAATAGAATCCAACGATACAAATTTACTCTCATTTATCTTACGGCTGTTATTTAAGTAAAGTCTTTAATAGTTTTTTAATTAATGTAGAAGTGTCAAAAAATATAGAAAAAATATATATAAACGCTCGTAATGACAAGCTTTACAACTTTTATGAAGAGCTTAACTTTGAAATTCGCCACAATAATCATATAAATCATAGATCAAAATTTAACCATTGATTGTTGTTTATATTTACGCTTCATTGTTCCCATCAAATTTTGTTTTTTCATATTTTCTTTTTTGAAAACATTAATCTATTAGAGGATGCAGGAAGATAAACGGTTTGTATCGTTGATATCATATTCAGAGTTTTACGGTTAGTGAAAATATTGCTTGATATTTATAAAGTTTCTACAAACAATATGATATCGACTCATATTTCAGTTAACCGTAAATATCGAAACGTGATATCAAAGATCTGAACCGTTCATCTTCTTCCATTCGGTAGATGATCATGTTTTCAAAAAAAAAAAAAAATGAAATTCAATAAGATGAATAAAGCGTAAATGACAATCAACGGTTAAATATAAAATTAAGGTTTATGGATTATAGTGTTGGATTTCGAAGTTGACCCCTTCATGAAAGTTATAAAGCTTGTCACTATGAGTGATTGTATATTTTTTTTACATTTTTTACACTTTTACAATAATTATTGTTAATTTTTCCCTTAAATAAAAAACATTATTCATGAGAGTTTGGAGGATTTTAAAAATCTAAACGATAATGTAAGTGTAACCATTATCTACACGTAGAGGAATAACGATGAATCACGAGTATTTATATAGGGATGTGCTATCCACACACCCCAAATTACTTCTCACACACCCCTTGTTAATTTATGTCCGTTGATTTTCTTCAATTCATCCGATCCGACGGCTAAAAATTAGAAGGGTAATTAGAAGGGGGTGTGAGAAGTAATATGGGGTGTGTGTGGATATCACACCCTTTATATATTCTTTCATATTTTTTCATACTTGTATGCATGCCTTCTTAGTTCTTGTCTATACAAATACTATACTAGTTTATTTTAATTTTGGACAAAATGTTAAGTAAAATTTATCCTAGTAATGATAGTAATGAACTCTCATAATAAAAATAAATAATGACTAAAACTTTTTTTTTAATAACTTATATAGAATAATAATACAAAACTATATATTTAATATAGAATATATTGTATATATTAATATGGCTATTATATTTTATAATAAATCTTTTAGTAAGTAAACTTTAAAATTATCAAAATAAGTTTTTCTTAACAGGTTACCCGCATGTATACCCGTGGGTTCTTAAAGGATCATCCTGATAATGACCCTATTAGTTATTGTGTTGACCCGAAACGTGTTATTTTCGTATCGTTTTTGTGTCATGTAAGAAACTGCTGGGTCTAATTAGAATATTTAGACAAGTAATTTGATAGAATTTCTGTTGGAACATCACCTGAAATTGAGGAGGGCTTCTTGTGATTAGTAATTGTAAGTTCACTTAAGGCGAACATTACGCTCTTAAGGGTTGCATGGTTTTTCAAAGGGTTTTCATGAAACTTAATGAGTCTTGCATGTTTATATTTGATCTGAACATCACAGACAAATTGCATGTTGGATATACATTTTTGCTTGAACATCACAAGGAAAATATGCATTAGGAAAACCTAACCTTCAAAGCATGTATGTGGAAATTCATAAGTAATTGATAGAATTGCATAGGATTGTGATGGTGATGGCTAAACCTTAGATTTCTATAAATTGTTAATTTTAAAAAACGTTTTTCTTCTTTGCTGTTATTATTTCCAAACTTTCAGATTTCTTTTATTGTTAATTTAATCTATTTAAATTCATAAATCTCAAATCTTTGATAAAATTTGTTTTAATAATTAATTAAGAGTTAGTTTAATTAGAAATTAGTCAAACACAACGACCTTGCATGAACATTTACACTACAATTACCTTATATTTTTACAAGTATTTTCAGTGATTTTAACCCTATTTGCGCAAGTACTAAAAATTCTATCACCCACTTCTATCAGAACTCAGTCAAATCAATGCTCTTCTGGGCTGGGACCCAACTGAGAAATCAACCTTGGGTTAAAAGTTAAGGCCTTCCAACCCAAAATATCATTTTTCATCCAAACTTTGCATTTCAGGCCCAAACAGAAACAAATAAATATACTTCATGGTTTGAAATCTATGCGACTGGTTTATTTATGCTAAAAAATTGCCACCTCTAACATGTGGATACATGTCTAAGCATTTTATCTAACAATGTTGTGTTTAATAAAAGGGAGACCTCATTTTTGTAAATTATATTTAGGGTTCATTTGAAAGTATTTTTGAAATTACTGAAACCACTTTTAAAGAAAATACTTTTATGTTCAAAAGCACCTGAAATTGTGTTTCTTGCAGGAATCACTTCAAATACTTTTTCAAAATTCACTTGCATATTTACCAATGATTGGTTTCTAAAACGTTTTCACATAAAGCACTTCACCCATTTTAAAAACATTTCTATACAAGACCTTAAACTATCTCTCTAATTAAAGTAGGGTCCACAACATAGTAGTGGATCTCACCTCTACTAGTTATATAGTTTAGATGTGGATTACAATATGTGATATCCTAGTATTTTCCTTAATAAACTTGCTAATGGCCCACATAATATAGAGGTGTACTATTCACACATTCATTTTTACTTTTTACACACTCTTCTAATTCATAGTCTATTAAGATTAATGTTTGTTTTGAGTTTTCTTTATAAATAGGATGTGATCGGTAACTTTGTAGAATAATAAGTCGGATAAAATGTAGTCATCCAGTTCAGAGATGTCTTGACATTTTTTTGGTTTCTTTGTTTTCAATTAATATAGTGATTTTATTTCAATTAACATGTTCTGATTTTCAACTTAGTATCAAAACAGGTGCGATGCTTCCGGGCTTAATTTGATGATGTATTAAAGTTGAAGCTGAAACCACCCGCCCAAGGCCAGAACTGACGAGTCCACGCACCACACCCACCGTATCCACACACCACACCCAACGTGTCCACGTACCAGATCTAGAAATAATAAACAACCATTTTTTAGTGTAATACATAAGAGTAAAGAATTTAAACTAGGAAACTTTACCGAAAAACTCCTGGTACTGTTCATTTTAATGAAAAATCATATTTTTATAGTAAAAAGTCAATCATGGTACTATTCAATTTACCCTTTATTTTGTTCGTATCGTTAAAACTTAAAGTTTTCAAGCCATTTTCATTCGTTTTCATTTCAAACTAAATCACATACCACTAAATCACATACAGCTAAATCACACATAAATCAACTATAATAATTAGGTATCTAAATGATTTTTCATTTTTCATTCTCATTCTATTGCCAGAGTTAAAAAAGAACGAAATGAATTAGCATGAAATGTAGTGATAAAATGAGTCAAAATCAAGATAAGTCAAAGTGACGACGTAGAAAAACGAATTAGTTTTTAAGAAAAAAACTAATAAAAAGGGTTTGAAAACTTCGAGTTTTAACCAAAAAGACAAAGATGTGTTGTAAGTGAATAGCATCATGAGTGACTTTTTAGAGTAAAAATATCTTTAACATTAAAAATGAATAATATCATAAATGTTTCATTAAAACTTTTTATTTTTTAATAGATATTAGGTATGAAAATTTATTCTTTTACTTTATGGGTAGAAGATAATGACTAACATGGCCCATGATATTTTTGGCCACCGATAATCTCCCGAGGAGGAGACTGCTCACGGGAAAGACAACCTTCTCCCTCCCACTTTCAAGTTTCAACATCATCCCATCCATAGCGTTTTTCAAGTCTCAACTTTCAACCTTCTGACTGATGACTGTCACACGATTTCATGCCCCATTTGGCTTTGCCTAGTTAGTCGATAACGGACAGACAATCACGTTAAAAAAGTGCTTTCTTTGTTTCCCTGCAATACAGTATTTGTCCCCTTCACCTCTCCAACAAAGGCATTCAAAACAAACAGTGTCCAAACACCCCTTCACTTTCTCTGTCAAAATTTGGACATGGAACTTGCTCTTCTCTTAATACGCATGTGGGTTTTAGCTACCCCTTTGTTGGTAACCATAATTGAGGCAGGAAGAGTCTTAGAGGCAGCAAGTTCCACCATTTCTGGCCGCATTATGCTTCTTCAGGAACAACCCATCACGCAGTTTTCTGTGAGAATGGAAGCTCAATCCCCAGGTATTTCTACATTCCCCATTTTTGTTTCTTTTCTGTTTTATGTTCTATTTTATTCGAGCGATACTAATCTAATCTGAACTACGGGAAGGGAAAGTGGGATTAGAACTTGGTGGAAAGTCGCACACTGCTCTGGGCAAAGTTTAGTTTCTTTTTCTGTTTTATGTTCGTTTCACGTTATCTTTAATTTAAGTTCTGCTTATTAAATGGGTTAATGACTTTGTTTGATTTCTAAATTCTGAACCAAATCACTAAAAATCCGACTAAACGAGTAGAGTCTCAGTTCAATTAGTTCATCATTTATACTATTTAATTTCCCGTTTCTTTTAAGCTGTTGTGTTCTTGGAATGCCTTGGCTGCTGAGAAAATACTGTGGAAAAGAAAAGAGTTGAATAATTCAATCTCCAATTATTGTTCATAAGAAAGCTCTTGGGGTACCCCATTGTCCACTTTCACTTTTGAAAAATGGTTCTCATGTAGGTCTGGTTAAAAGCTTAAAAGTAATAAATTTGAAATTGATCTTGCAACCTCTTTTGGTTGCTTAGAAATGTGGGAAAGGAAAAGGGAAATTCAAATTGTGAACCTTTACATTATTAGTGTTCTGAAACTGAAACCATAAAAAAGCAAAAGGTTCTTCTCAGTTGTGACTTTGTTTCTTTACTTTTTATGAGAAAATTGGAAAAGTGTAGGAGGACATATAGATACGAAAAGTATGAAATTTTGTTCTCTTTCCGTCCTCCATGTTTCAGACAGATTTCTCAGCAACCAAACATAACAAAGTATAAGATTTAGTTATAGATCATCTTTATATCTTACGAAAATGTGTTGGTGTTCCGAATTCTATGATTTGGCTTTTATGGACTTCATGTGTACACTTGTTCATATCCTCGTTAATTGGTCTCTTGATTCCTAATTAGGTAAAATTTGGATCTTTTTTTTCTGTTAAAGCAGGATTGCCTGAGGTTAGAGTGGCTCACCATTCTGAGTTGAATAAGAGAATTCTTATAGCACTCATTGTTGCTTCCACACTCCTTGGGGGAAGCTTGCTGTTCCTGTCATGTTTTTGGATCTGTAGACAGAAAACCCTGAAACACTATATTGGGAAAAAGGAAACGACAATGGGTATCCTCTTTACATTTAACATTGCATTCTCTATAAGTTCAATTGCTCATACTCTAACGTTCTTCTTTTCCCTTCCCCCACCCCATCCTTTTAATATCGAATTGAAGAGGCTGCAAAAGGGGTTCCATCAAATCCAATCACTGGTGGAATTTAATTCCTTGAGGGTCGGGAGTAGGATGGGTTCAGTTGCGATATTCAATTATCCATTGCTGGAAGCTGCAACAAACAATTTCAGTAAAAGTAATGTCTTGATTGAGAGGGGTTCTGGACTTCTCTACAGAGCTAGTTTTGATGAGAAATTTATTGCGGCTGTTAAGAAAGTAAATAGCGCAAGGCAGGATTCTGAAAGAGAATTTAAGGTATTTCCATCTTAAAATGGTTTGAATTCGCTTTTCTGAATATGATTTTCTTGCTATGGGTTTACCTTTTTTTATGAGTACTTGTTGTGCAGAATGAGGTGAACTGGTTGAGCAAAATCCAGCATCAAAACATCATCAGACTTTTGGGTTACTGTGTTCATGGCTGAAGCAAGGTTCCTTGTTTATGACATGGTGCAGAATGGGTCCTTAGATACTCAATTGTGCGGTATAAATTTTCTATCAGTCTCTAGTTTTGCAGACGACAAAAGACATTTGCAAATGCTCATCACAACATACCATTTATTTTATACTCATTTTGACTAATCTTGCAGGACCTAGTCATGGGTCCTCTTTGACATGGCATCTACGGTTGAAAATTGCTGTAGATGTAGCCAGGTAAACTCATTACTTATTGTCACCCTCTTTCTTTCTTTATTTCTTACGTAGATATGTACATTTGTTTGTTAATTAGCTTTTTCCACTACCATTAATGCTCTTTTAGGGGATTGGAATATCTTCATGAGCATTGTAATCCCCCTGTGGTGCACAGAGACCTTAAATCATCTAACATTCTTCTGGATTCAAATTTTAATGCTAAGGTTAGATCCATATACGAGGCCATATTATTGAATACCATAAGAGATTAGTTGTCTGATGAGTTTTGCCTTGGTTTAGCTTTCAGATTTTGGTCTTGCTGTAACTTCTGGGGTGAAGGATGAGGACAACATAAAGCTGTCTGGGGCTCTAGGTTATGTACCACCAGAGTACATTTCGGATGGTATGTGGATATACAATCTAAGTTCGAATATGCTGGCAATGTCCATTTTGAGATGAAACTCTAACCAGCAAAACTGCTTAAAATTCTAGAGCATTTTTCATATCGTATCTTCTGTCAAGAAATTAGTTCATGTCAGTGTGGCTGCCTTAAAAAGCTGTGATAACTAATCATCCATTCCCACTAAATTAGCCTTCAGAGACATTATTAGCTCTTATGTTTCATACAAGCACCATCACCCTAAATAGATCATCCCTAGTGGCCCTTGAAGTGATCCTGGTAATCTTCTTTTTTCTGGCCAGCACGTAGTTTTGCATTACGCCTCTTTCAATTTCAAGGCAAACAACTCTCATGGCGAAAAATAATACAAATACAGCCAGTTATTTAGCTGAATGCTTGCATCCAAGAAATTGGCCTTTATTCAATTTCATAGTTCTGCAAGTGTAGTAATAGTGAATTGTCTTAAGAGTATTGCCTATGCCCTGATTTATTCATTGATTAGCGTTAAGTAATTCCGACGATAATATGTAATTTTCTTTGCTTTTTAGGTCAATTAACTGATAAGAGTGATGTCTATGCCTTTGGCGTTGTCCTTTTGGAGCTCTTGATGGGAAGAAAGTCGGTGGAAAGTAACACTGGAGCTGAACGTCAATCTATAGTCACATGGGTATTTATTCTCAAGCGCTATGATGGTCCTACATTAGTTGTTGGAAACTTTATGTATCTGTTGATTTATTGACATGCAGGCCATGCCCCAGCTCACTGACAGATCAAGGCTTCCAAACATTGTGGATCATGTGATCAAAGATACTATGGATTTAAAACACCTATACCAGGTTCCTTGGTGAAATCGACTAATATTGATACTTTTTTTACTTGTATGATCCTGTTTGAATTGCTAAGTTGGGTTTCTTGGGCCATGAACAGGTTGCTGCTGTAGCGGTACTCTGTGTACAACCTGAACCAAGTTACAGACCATTGATAACGGATGTGCTGCACTCGCTAATCCCTCTTGTGCCTATTCATCTCGGAGGGTCGCTTAGAATTACAGGGAATGTACCTTCGGCGTGAGCTGAGTCTTCCCATAAACTGGTAGAAGTTTATACATAATCCAGTGCCAGAGATGGTTACGTTTCTTATAACTCTGGAGGATGGTCTGAATCCACGGATAGATTTCCTTGTGTACTTGTCATTGTTTTTGTGTATCATTTTCCTCAAAGGATTCAAATCCGGGAAGGCGTTGCTAAGAAATATACGAGCTTATTTTTGTTGCAGTTGTATGTAAATTGAAACACATTGAAAGTAGACGTTTCATAGCAATCAAAGAAGCTTTTGCCGTTGGATTACTCAGGACAGATTTTTCCTTGGATGATTCCTTGGCATGTTTACTTGTGAGCTCAAGCGATGCAAAGAGCATCTCCAATGAGACACTAAAGGAGTTCACACACCATCGTATGAACTTCACTATAGGGACGAAAGGCAGTCGAATGGGTTAGACGAATTCCTTATAGTATAGGAGCTGGAAGTGTGTCATAAAACTCAATCATAAGATGATATTTTACCGATATTTTACTCCTTCCAAAAAAAAAAAAAAAGATGATATTTTACCGATATTTTATGTATTAAGCTTATTTATTTAATCAAAGGACAAATGTTATTGTTTACAACTATCTCATTCATTGTTATATGCTTAAACAACAAGTCCGATAAATGTGTAATCGAGAGACCATGGTCCCGTCTAGTAGGCAGGATGAGATGAGTTATATCCTATTAAACTGGCCTTGTAACCCATCCTATGTTTATTGTGTCAAAATGTATTTTAGACAGGACAGGACATGATATGTTATTAATTCAAAATATAGTGGTTATCTAACCTAACCTCACAGGTGTTCCTATCTTAAACTAAAAAGAAAAAAAAAAAAAAGAAACCACTACAAGTCAATGGTATCTTGTGCCAAATGAAAACAAATTGGTAAACCTAAGCAAACATTTGCCTCATGCCATACGCCAAATGAGCAAAACTACAAATGCTACCAACAAAATTTTTCCTCCGATCACTTTAATTAATTAAGTTCTTTCCAAAGTTCCTTGAGGACCTGACGTGTACAAGTACAACCATTGATGCTGATTACACAATTTTTTTTTTTTTTCACAAAAAATATTAACTATACTAAGGGAGTGGGGGAGTTGGCTAATCCTCACAATGACTAGCAATAATGTAGTTCAAATTCGCGTTTGACGAAAATCAAATCTAAATCATCTCACTTACAAGTATAGAGAAATACTATTAGACTGTAGTACTAAATTGTTGATTACCACAATTAGAATGAGCACTAATCTCCCAGAAATAAAAATAAAATATGTATCACTCACTTTCTTTGTAAACATCAATAAGTTTAAAGCTAACCAAAGCATTATGTCTTAGGCATTTAAAATTTTAAGTAACAAACAAAAGCATATCAACTATAAAGTACACATTTTATAGAAATATCCGCCTAATTAACGAGATAGGATGACAAAATCTCATAAAATATAAAACTTAAGACATGAAAAGGTCCCAATGATTCAAAAATGTTTTTATTTTCCAGCAAATAAAAACATGTTTTAATACCAGCCAAACTCAATGATTTAAAACCTACATGCAACAAAAGGTCAACGATGTTATCAAAGATTTATATAATTAATTACTGATACATTGTAAAAGGTCACACTCCAACATCTCATGGATTTCCTCGATTCACTTTGATTTCACACTAGAGAAGAATATCACTACTTAAATAAACTCTCCCTGCAGAATTTCCAACCCTAATCAGTCTAATATTCCTCACAATTACAAGGAAAACAATGTCGATGTCGACATGGCTCTGCACTAAAAGCACCAAGAACATGCTTGTCAAAATTGTTCACCCCGGAGGGCATGTGGAGCTGCACGACAGTCCTCTTCTCGCAGTGGAGATCATGCTAAGGAATCCGCAATGTTGCGTTGCGCACCCTCACATTTTCCAGCAGCCATGGGCGATTGTGGAGCCGGATACCATGCTAAGTCTAGGGCAAAAGTACTACGTCGTGCCTGTAAGCACGATTCGGAAGCTTCAAAGGCTCTCCATAAAGTATTCACCCACTTCAATCCATGACACTCAAAGAAATGTGACACCCCCACCAAGCAAAGAAGATGAGAAACGTGATGACATGCTTTCTAATTATTGTAATTGGTTTTACGCGAGGAATAAAAAATCTTCCAAGTTTTCTTGTGTTTGTAACCATGAGGAAAACAAAGTGAAGGAGGGAGGATGTTTTTCTGAAGATAATTGCTTTGCTTGCTGTTTTAAGGGGACAAAGATTAAAGAAAATGGCGGCGATCGCGATTCGAAAGAGGAAACAGAATCATCAAGCAGCAGCATTTCATCTTCTGAGATTGAGACAAAGACGCTTACAAGGAAGAGGAACAGGAATTCTACAAAGCATTGGGGCAAAGATTCAACACCTAAAAGATTGTCATCCCTAGATCATTGGCAGCCAAGTCTAGAGAGCATCCATGAAGAATGAAATAATTAATTAATTAACACCCTTTTGTTTGTTGGGATCCATGCTCTTTCTTCAGTTGGGTTAAGAGAATCACCTAATTGAATACCATTGAGAATAGATTTTGATTTAGTTGTGTATATATCTTTGAAATTGCTGGATGTGGCTATTTACATCTTGTTCTTACTTGACTTAATAAGCAAACAAAAACTTCATCAAATCCTATTAATTTAGCACAAACTTTAATTGGTAATTAAATAATCTTGAACTTGATCTGGATGTGTACTATGTAGAGTAGAAGGGTACTTTCTTGTTCCTACTCATTACACACTATGAAATTTCTATTAGTTATTGGTAGTAGTAATTTAATTTCTTAGAAGTCTCAAGTTGGAATAGCATGGTAATACTTGTGTCCACTATATGGGGGTATCTACTTGTACACCCACATTCATGGTTAACGTAAGTTCATTGTACAAACATTATACGTTTTCTTTCATTCTCATTGTCATCATTTAAAGATTATTTATTGAAAAATATATCAAGTTGAAGATCGTTTATTCAGTTGTATGTATTAAATAAATGTACTATTGTTTATGAGGATGTTACCTTTTTGCCAAAACCGTTACGTTAGATATGACTAAAACATCTCGAAATTGATTGACCTTTTGCAGAGATGATATTTAATTATGAAAAGAAAATTAGCTCCGATTATTGTTAAAATATGTTAATCACAAGTGAGTGAACAAATAAGCGTGCATGAGTGTGAACACAAGATTGTCTAATTGGTGGAAATAGTGGTTATGTCTTTATCTATTTTTTTTTTTAAAGAAAAGATCCACGATGTGAGGGGATTTTATTGATAACGAAAAAAGAAGTTACACTTAGTCAGGGGAGACATAAATCTTACCCCTCCTAAAAAAAAAGATAGAAAAAGTATAAACGAAAAAAAAAAAAAGTTGGAGGGGGGGGGGAGGACAAAAAACTTACCCCTCTCAAATGAGAACAAGAAAGATACAAAGAAAAAAAGGGTGACATGAACCTAACCCCTCTAAAGTCAAACCTAATAGGTCCATACCTGCAAAACAAGTCGAACAACACCACAAGGTTAGAAAAAAAGAAAACAAAAAGAGAGACAAACTTGTATGTCGAGATGTACATCAATTTGAGAAGTGGAAGCCATGCAAGCCAGCTAGTTTGAAAACAAAGCAGCACGAGTCGCCGCCTGAGGGTAATCATGCCATACAAAAGTTGGAGAAGACAAGCCCATATTTGCAAAATTATCCGCAACAACATTTCCTTCGTGATATATGTGAGCTGCCTAGAAAGTCATTTTTTGAATGCGGTCCAGACAAATATATGAAGATGCTAAAGAGGATCAAAACTAGTTGATTGGATAGCAGAAATAACACTGAAAGAGTCATTTTTCAGCCAAAGACAATGACAACCCCGTTGATATGCAAACTCTACACCAATAATAATTAAATGAGAATTAAGCCGAAGCTTAACGAGACAACTTGGAGCTCACGGGTTCTTCAAGTTCAGTACCTCCAGCCTCCAACCTTCCATGCAAGACTACTTTCGTGATCCTCAGGTCATAGTGAGTTTAGCCATGGTGGTTTCAAGATAAAGCTTGGACATAAAGATTGGCAATTCGAGGTGGTGGTGTTTGGTGTAAGAGAGAGAGAGAGAGTGAATGAGAGAATTCGAGAGTTAGAGAGTTTCAGAAAAAACGAAGAGGAACAAGGAGCTGGAGTGGGGTTTAAACCCACTTAAAATTTACCCAATAAAATTATCAAATTGCCCCTCCATTAATTTAATTAACTCGTCTCTCATGACTCCCAATTTGATTTCACTTTCGCCCACGCACTCCTGAGTAAGAAAACATAACTAATAAAATAGAAAATATATGGATACTGAGTTCTTATACTTTCCTCTGTCTTTCATGTAGCTTCTTCAATCTTATGGTTCCTCCACACAACCTTCACAACGGGTATCACCGTGTTCCGAAGAGCATTCTCTCTTCGATCCAATATAGCAACTTGTTTCTCTTCATAGCTCAAATCCTTTTGCAACTCCATTGGTGATAATCCTAGCACATGCGATTCATTTGACACATACCCTCGAAACATCGTTACATGAAACACATTATGCACACGTCATAACTCTGGGGGCAATTCCGAATGATACGGGAAATTTCCAACTCTTTTAGTGATGTAATAAGGACTGATGTGTCGAGGACTAAGTTTTCCTCACTTCTCAAACCTTCTCCTTTCTAGGGTGATCATTTCGAGAATACACAATCCCCAACATTTTAGTCTCTGTTTCTTGCATGACCATTCACAATAATTTTTGTGTCTATCTTGAGCTACCTTTAAATTTATCCTAGTCACTTCCATCTTTTCAGTGGCATCATCCACTAATTCTGGACCCAAAGTAGCCCGTTCTCCAACTTCATTCCAACAAAATAGAGTTCTACAAGCTTTACCATACAATGCCTCTAATGGTGACATACCAAAACTCGTATAGAAACTGTTGTTATAGGCAAATGCCATCAAAGGTAGATGACAATCCCAACTATCATCAAACTGCATCACAGTAGCCCTTAACATATCCTCTAATGTTTGAATAGTTCTCTCGAATTGTCTATTGGTCCAAGGATGAAAATGAGTGTTGTATAATAAATTTGTACCCATGGCTTGTTGAAAAGTTTTCCAAAACGTGGATGTAAATCGAGCATCCCAAACAGAAATAATTGTCGTAGGCACTCCATACAAACGAACAATTTGGTCGACAAAGAGTTTAGCCAATCTAGCAATAGAATATATGTCATGAACAGTAGGAAAATGTGCTCACAAAGTGAGACGTTCAACAACAACCCATGTGCCTTCATGACTATCTATCTTTTTAGGGGGTTTATGCTAAAAATCCATTGTAATATCCTCCCACTTCCATGCAGGAATGGAAGGGGTTGAGACAATCTCGAAGGCTTCTTTCTCTCAACTTTCACTTGCTGATAAACTAAGTATTTTCTCACATACTCAGCAAGATTCTTTTTCATACCCCACCAGTAGTAGAAAGGCTTAATAGTGTGATACAGCTCGATAGAACGAGGATGCATAGCATACACTGAAATGTGAGCCTCATCTAAGATTTCTTTCTACAATTCTTCATCTTAGGGAAAAAAGTTCATTCCCGAAGACTAGTGTATCATCTATTCTGACCTTAAGATCATGTCGTGTCCCATTAGTCACTGCTTCAATTAATCTCAAGCATAGCGGATCATTTCCTTGAACCGAACGAATGCAATCAACGAGCAGAAGTTGAACTTGGAAATGAGCCAATAAAGCTGCACCATTCTCTATTTCAAGCTGAACTCCCGTCTTCCTAAGTTCCACAAGATTAGAATTATAGACTTCCATAAAAAAAGAAGGTTGACCATAGGATTTTCGACTAAATGCATCAACCACCACGTTAGCACGACCAGGATGGTAAATAATTGTACAATTACAGTCGCTTATTAACTTCATCCATCTTTGTTGCCTTAAATTAAGATCCTTCTAATCAAATAGATACTTCAAACTCTTATGGTCTATAAAAATATGACAAATTTCAACATACAATTTATGTCTCTATAACGTAAACACAAATACTACTACAGTCAACTCCAAGTCATGGGTATGATAGTTCTGGTCATGATGTTTCAACTGTTGAGAAACACACGTTATTGACCCTTGGTGTGAAGCATCCGTTACATTTCAAGTTCCTCGCTCTCATCTGGAAGAGCGAATACTGAAGCATGAGTAAGACATTACTTCAGTTCTTGAAAATTATACTCACACTTATCATTCTTACTCCCTTTTGGGTCAACTTAGTAAGTAGGGGCAATAATAAAACAAAAATCTCTTACAAATCTTTGATAATATTCAGCCAATCCCAAGAAACTTCTAACTTTAGTTACATTATAGGGTTGTTCCCAGTTAACAATTGAAGAAACCTTCTACAGGTCGACAAAGATTCCTTCGGCCAAAATGTATGACCTAAAAAACCAATGCCATACAGCCAGAACTGGCATTTACGGAACCTAGCATAAAGTCTCATTCTTCTTAGCCTTTTCCAGCACAAGTCTCTGTCGAACATGCTTTTGTTCATTTTTAAAGTACACCAGTATGTCCTCAATAAAGACTTGTTTGAGTTAATATTTGAATATTGGGCTTGAACGAAGGAAGGCCCAAAGATGCCAAATTAAATGAAAACTTGCCCGAAGTCCAATCACGAAATCTGAAGCAAATTAAAGCCTTCTCAGCCAAGACATGAGCTACGTGTCTATAACTGAAGTGACAAGTGATGAAGACCAACCTACTATCAGCCAAAAAACACTTTCTAATGGCACTACATGTAAAAAGTTGATGACTCACTACCCTTTAAGAGTTTTGGGGGCAAGAGTAGAGCTAAAGGCAATTAAGCCAAATTGCCTATAAAAGAGGAGGCAAGTATCTGAGACAAGGACACTCAACCAATCAAACAAACAAACATACAAACTCTACTCTCAAGCCAGATTTGCATCTAGAAAGCTGAAATCAACCCAGATTCAGTCCTTTTAGCAATAGTGTCCTTAGAAAAGCTATCTTTCATCTAGTGTAAAAGCTCTGCTACCTCCTTTAGAGTTGTAGTATCGATTATCTCGTGTAAACCCGTTTACCATCCATCCTTCTTTAGCATACAAGCCCTATAAACTCAAAGAGAAGTAGCTGCAAGAGGTTCAAGCTTGCCAGACAAAGTGAAATCTTGCCCGAGTCTCTTTGTTTATCCTCTAAATTGATAGATCTATTACTTAATGTACTCTTCAGCATGTATTCAAGACATTGTCACCTGTTCTCTATTTTAAAAGTCCCACTTGCATCTGGATCTTTTAACTTAATAGATTTGTTTTCATTAAGAGTAACTTGGAATCAGACAAATGACTTAAAGGGCTTTGAACTCCCTCCATTCAAACATACAAGATCATGAACTAAAAAGTCCTTATTTACAAGGCAAGAAAAAGAACTTAATGTAGACTTAACCCATTTGCAACAATCTTTTGATAACAAGAAGTTTGAGTAACTTGGGGCTCAAGTAATCAACTTAAAACACACTTGTTCTATATCTGCTATGTTGAGATAGCAGTGGCACGCCTAAGCACTTTGGCCCTACAAGGGCACCTTTCAAAGCTAACTTTGCACTCTTCTTGCAGCACACCGAGCAGCAAAAGCCCGATTGCCAAACATACACACACAAAGTGCCATCCACCCTTGGGGAGTTGTGTGAAGGGCCAGATCCACATTTTGCCATGAACAAGACTATCACAAATCTATCTAAATAAGTTTCGAAACCCTATTCATTAGATCCATGAAAGCTGCAGGGGCATTTGTCAAATCGAAAAGCATGATAAGATATTCATAATGACCATATCGTGTTCTAAATGCAGTCTTCAGAACATCCTCAGTACAAATATTTAACTGATGATATCCTGATCTTAGATCAATCTTACTCAGGCTCTTTTTAAGTTTTTGCTTATGTTTTGCTTTTTCCAGTGAACATTATGATTTTGAGTTCTATATATTGGTCTTGCAATTTTTTTCATATTTTCTATTTTGTTCAATAAGTTTTTAGACATAGAATGATGAATATTATGATAGGCGGGTTCGTGGGTGTGGATTTGGAGATAACTTTCGCGGAAGAAGTGGGATGGAGAATTCCCCTTTTAAAAATGGTTATGGGGGGCAAAAAATGACTAATGGAGGTGGGAGATGGAGACGACATGCCCTACCTCGCATCGCCATGTTGCCATCCCTATGAGTAAGTGTACTTTTCATACCATGAGTGAGTTTACTTTTTTGTTCATCTAGATGTGATTAGAGCATCTCTATTACTTTTTCGGTAATGGAGAGATGCAAAAATCATTTTACATCCTATTTTACACTTTTGGAAGATGTAGATGGGAGTTTCACACCAATAGAAGAGATAAATTTAAAATCTCATTTTCATTTCTCTCTTTGATTGGCAGGACCCGCCACCGAATGATGTAAAAAAAAAAATATGCATATTTTTAGGTTTTCATTTACATTTTCTAGCCAATATTTATATTTTGCATCTCTCCATTAAAAAAGTTTTCGGCCAACACTATAAATGCAAAATACACCTATCAACGCATTTTACATATTTCTTTGGAAATAACCTTAATGTAATTTAAAAGCAAACGTACCATAATAAAAATATTTAATTTTTAATCAGTCATCTAAAGATCGTTTCTATAAAAAATGAACATTCCAAAAGCTTAAGGGCCGTACCATTTGCATTACTCATAATTCTTGTATAGTTTCAATGTATGGTCCGTTGCGCTGTTCCAAAAAATTTAAGAAATTAACTTTTACGCATTTTTTTACTTATGCACGCCGATGTTTATCTCTCAAATTTTATTGATAGCTCTTTGAAAGGAAGATCCAGGTAATTTCTTACACATGGGTTCCCTAAGAATCAAATATATAAAAAGAAACTGTCTTTTTTTAAGAATGTTCTCGTCTCGCACCTGGTTGAAGAATTTGGTGAAAACCCAGAAAAACTCCTCATCATTTTATCTCCCATGTAAACCCTCTAATCCCAAAAACCCACTTTTCACATATTTTATATATTCTTTCTAATTAGTGGGTTTTCGATAATTTGTTGGTTCTCAGGTCCAGGTATCGAGAAAAAGCCAGTGCCATGACTGTACTCAAAGGTGCAAGTGCAAGCTCCTTTGGAGGAGTTGAAGATGGCGGGACGGCTAAGAAATCAGATCCTAGCAACACTTCTCAATCACATGATGAGAATTTGAAGGGTAAAAATATTTCTTTTGGTTCTACACAAGAGCGCAGTGAAGTTTCCTCTACCAGAGAGATTGGGGCCAGTGATTCAACATATGAAGGTACAAATATTTCCAATGTTTAAAAAATCCATTGCTCTCTGTTTTATTTAATATTTATTGCAGGATTTCCCTGCATTTTTCTTCTGTAGTGCGTTTGGATGAGGGATTTTAAAGTTTCGTGGAAATTAGACTAAATTTGTTACAAAAGCGGCTTTACTGCTTTAGCAGAGTTGCAGTAACTTTGGAACTCAATTTTCTGCATCTTTAACATAACCTTTTGTTTAACAAGAGATAAAAAGTAACTTATCCAAAAACTTTGAAACTAAATTATGTAATCACTTTATGGTTAGCAAATGCACTCTCTTTATTCGACAACGAGCATCCATCGACATTGCTGCTTCTATGAATTACAGGTTTAAATTGTATAGAGAAACCCAATTTTGTTTCTAGTAAGGTGTAATTGTCTTCCAATGGTCAAACTTTTGTGCTGCTCAAAGTTGCTTTCCAGAAGAATATCAGCGGAATCAGTTTTTATTAATGAAATCTTTAGACTTACTCCAATTAATCAATTTCGTAGGCACTGGTAAGAAGCTATCAGCAAAATCCCAGTTGTTCCAGATATGCGTTGCAAGAAAATGGAAGAACCCTACGTTCGAGTGCTGGAAAGAGGAAGGACCGCTCCACATGAGAATGTAAGTTGACCACATTCTACAAACCCAAGTCATAGTTGCCTCGTCAAGAAATGTTTTCTAAACAGGTTCTACATTCCACATTCTATAAGTCGATGTAATATCTTACTCCTAGTTTTCTTACTATTTTTATACAATGGCCTGTTGCAATCTTCACTGATCATCCACAATGCAGTTTTACTTGCGTTATCCAAGAGGGTATAAGGTGTTTAACTGATCCATTGTTCTAAACAGGTTCACCTTCAAGGTTATTGTTGAGATAGACGACGAATCAAAAACCCTTTTGGAATGCTTTAGCTCTCCACATTCAAAAAAGAAGGCAGCAGCAGAGCATGCAGCTGAAGGAGCATTATGGTACTTGAAGAACGTTGGTTATCACTCGAAGGGTCGGTGAAATTAATGATTGTGGAACATCAGTTTAGGTCAGATACAGGTTTTTATTCTTGGCTTCTTCCGTTGGCACACAGTTTAGAGTCTTTAGACTTTAGAGACAACGGATTCACATGTAGCAGACTAGCTTTCGGTAATGGTCCAGTTAACCACAGAGATGTCGTAGTCTTAGAATAACTTGCTATTGAACTAGTTCAAATCTTGTAGAACTGATTGATCAAAGGAATTTTCATGTTTTCATAAACCTGAAATTATACCTGTTCAAAGTCTCGTTTTCCCCATCTATCATTTGCCCCCACAATACTCCTACAACATCAATGACCTACACACATGAATTATTTACACACATTTCATAAGACCGTGTAAAATAGTTATGCGTATGTAAGTTTTCTTGAAGATTCGGAGTTGTGCTTAATGCAACTTGAAGAAAGATGTTTCTACAACTAGAAGCTCAGTTAGAGTACTTTAGCAGAAACCTAGAGGGAAGCGATTTGGCTGCGAGACTCAATCGTAGCCAAATTCAAAACATGCTAAAGAATTCTAGCTCTGTTTTTCGACCTTTAGAATTTTAACCACTCAAAGGGGGCACAAGCGTTCGTCCTTGAGAGTGGTTCGAGCGGTGCTCAAAGGGGCTCGAGACCTCGAGTTGCTATAATTCTCTACTTGTATTCTGAGTACAAATATAGAAGTTGAAATTGAAATGGTAGAAGCGAAAAATAGCGAATTATCATTGAAATGAACTAATTATTTAATCCATAGAGAATACAAGGTTCAACCTCCTGATATAATTTATTCCAACCTTAGGTTGTCTGAGACAACTCCCTCGGATTATTCCCAACCCCTTCATCCTCCTACAAAGTCAAATGACAAACAACAACATTTTTTTCTTGTTTTTCTGCTGGTTTTTCAAGGATGAACACTAAATTGTCCTATCAATGCGCTAGTTGTCTTCTGCCCTCTCAAGACTCGCTTTGCCCAAAAATTCTTGCCACTCACTCAAACGGTGTAGTGCTGTTGAATGGTGTCAATGTCCAGTCCTTTGAGCTTCACCACCGACTCGACGTGCCCCTTGAGTGTGTTAAGCTCCCTCAACCTGGAAACCAAACAACCACAAGAATGGTTAGGAGCATAGGATCCATTGACATGTTCCGGTTAGTGTTACAAAAAGAGGGGCAATTCCAACTTCCAGTTGTACAATTACCTAGCAACTTCAGCTCGCTTCTTGGCCTGTTCGGCGATTTCAGACAACTCTCTGTAGTTCTTGTCATGGAAGAGCTCAGCTGTCTCGGGAGGCTGCAGACCAGTGGAGGGTTCGTTGAGCAGTAGCCCATTGGGCCTCCCTGTCTCCCTTTCCGTAATCCTTCTTTGTTGTGAAAGCAGTCTGGATACCAGTATGAAGAATCAAACATTTAGGATACGGGGATGAAAACATACTGTTTTAAGCATCGGATTTGATCAAACATACCTTATTCTCAAGTACATTATCCCAGGCCTTGCCGCTCAATATGTATCGAATGATGAACTTAAGAATGTCCAAAGGTATGTAAGTGACAATGCTGTAGAGCCAGATAACCCCTGCCCATCCCCATCCAATGCCACGGATTCTTGCAAAGCCCCAGTTTGCATAAACAGCAATAATGGTAGCAATCTTGATGAAATATAACAGCAAGAGGAAATTAGTGGTTTGTTGTTCTTGAAATACGAAAAATCTTAGATATGATGCTCAACCGCAAACTTGTCTTGAAACTTACCAGCTGTGCTATGAAAAAGGCTCCCAAGAGAAGTAAACCGGGGCGTTCAACGTAAGACCAGCTTCGGGATCGAGTAACAAAGATGAGTGCCTGACTAATAATACTCACTTGAAGGTAGATAGCTCCTGTAAGCTCAGGAAAATTTCCCCTGATCGATCTTACCCCAAATCGTTCCTGCAAATTTTTTAATGTAAGTATATTTGCAATAAGATTGATCCACAAAAAGCTTTTGATTTAGTTGGATTTTAGGAATTTTTCTTACTGTGAAAAAGTCAGAGCCATGAGCAGCCCAGAAGAAAACAACAGTCATGACAGCCATGTAGGTGCCCAGGACTACCCCGGTCGCGAAGATCTCCTTTAGCTTCCATGAGTCTGGAAGAGGAGATGGCTTCACCCTATCCTTGGAAATAGTCATGATTGTTCCATCGTTGAGTATGGCGATAACCAAAACCATGAAAGGAGAGAAATCAAACTTCCAGATGAGAGCAAGGAGCAGAAAACCTAGCACGACACGGATTGTTATGGAAACGGCGTAGATTGTGTAATTCTTCATTCTCTGGAAGATGGCTCTGCTCGTCAACACAGCACTGATGATCACAGACAACCCTGGCTCTGTCAGGACAATGTCGGATGCGCTGCGAGCTGCATCAGTTGCATCATCCACTGCAATTCCTATGTCTGCCCTCTTTAGAGCTGGGGCATCATTCACACCATCTCCAGTCATCCCACAAATATGCTTCTTGTCTTGCAGCCTCTTGACAATTTCGTACTTATGTTCTGCATGGTACCTCATTACTTAGTTCTACTATACAAAACCCTGGAATTTTCTGGACTTTAACTTACTTGCATGAAGGATTTAGTTCAGTTACCTGGGAAGACACCGGCAAAGCCATCAGCCTTTTCAATAAGCTCATCAATAGGGAGGCCAGCAATCGACTCGTCCTTGGTGTCACCAAGGAGGGAAGAAGAAGGATACATGTTGGTGCCCATGCCAAGTCTGCGGCCAGTCTCCTTGCCAATGGCAAGCTGATCACCAGTGATCATCTTGACATTGACACCGAGATTAAGGGCTCGGCGAATGGTCTCTGCACTGTCATGCCTTGGAGGATCAAAGAGAGGCAAGAGACCCACAAACTCCCATGGTGTTCCAGCACTCTCTTTGTTTTTTTCCGGCACGGTCTAAATAAAAACGATTTATGAAGACATCAACTTCAGTTATACGAAAGCATCATCATCAAATTATAATTATTAGGAATAAGGCCTAAAACTCACCTGTCTAGCAACAGCAAGGGAGCGAAGGCCGCGATCTGCAAACTTGCCAATGATAGCATGTGCTTTCTTCTCAACATCACCCTTTAGGTTGCAAAGCTCAATGATCTGCTCCGGTGCACCTTTGCTAACCCGATGCCAATTTCCTTCAGGGTCGATGTATGTTATGGCGGTACGCTTTTCCACTGGATTAAAGGGCAAGAAATGGACTTCAGTTATTCCTTGCCTGGCCTGCAACACAAACAGTAGTCGGTACATTAAGACGGTCAAATTAATCGTTCGCTGTCAAAACCGTGGAGAAATAGTTATGCTCCAAATGCAAGTACATAAAGAAATTTGATTGGGATATACCTCCTTGGGGTCTCCCAGCATTCCAACGATGCATGTGTCAATAGCATCCTGATTCTCAACCCTGGATGCCCTGGCTCCGAGCAGAATTAGACCGTCCTTGTCCACATCCTTTACAAACACCTGAAAATCAAAACAAATTTCATTAATTATTCGTTAAGCAATGAAATCATGTTCTAGGTTCTTGATTTTTTCTCCTCTTATTCTCTTTTCTTTGCAACATAAAACAAATTTCATGAATAGTAAATCAATTGAACGGTCATACTCACCTCAACCATGGTCTTGTCAACTGTAAGCTTGTTGAGAGTAAGTGTCCCAGTCTTATCACTGCAGAGGACATCCATTCCGGCCATCTCCTCAATGGCTGTCATTCTCTTGGTGATGGCACCTTGGGTCGAAAGGCGGTGGGAACCAATTGCCATGGTAACTGACAACACCGTTGGCATAGCAATTGGAATGCCTCCAATGAGAAGCACCAGGAGATTGTCAATCCCATCTCTGTATGCTCGGTGCTGAATTGGATACATGACTATTACCTCAATAACAATTCCCACGCCAATGGAGCATATGCAGAAGTTTCCAATGGCAGTCAAAACCTGATCAATGCGCAGTGCATATCAGGAAACGAAACATGGAAAAATATTGAAAAGGACTAACTGCTCGTATTAATACTTGCAGCTTCGGACAGATGTCTAGTACCTTTTGGAAGTGGCCTACTTGATTGGTGCTGTCAACAAGGTGAGCAGCCTTCCCAAAGAAGGTATGAACACCGGTGGCAATTACAACTGCCTCAATCTCACCTTGCTTGACGGTGGAGCCAGAGAAAACTTCGTCACCAGGGTACCTTGTCACGGGCAGAGATTCACCAGTGAGGGCAGCCTGATCGATCTTTAGAGGATCTCCGTCCAAGAGACGAGCATCTGCTGGGACGATATCTCCCAACTTAATACTGACCACATCTCCTGGTACCAAGATTTCAGCCTCTAGCTCGTTCCATTTTCCATCTCTCAGAACCTACAATCGAACAAGCATATATAAATATCCCATTTTCATTGTTTTTATAAATTTGATGTAACCATTACTAATGTTCACCTTTGTTTTCGGTGCAAGACCCGCCATCAATGCCGCTGCAGCATTTCCTGCATTGTTTTCTTCGATAAAGCTTATGGTGGAGTTGATGATCAAGAGAGCAGTAATTCCCACAAAGTCCTGCCAGTCCGGTGGTCTCCCCTGCATTGTTCATTAAAATCATGAGAATATGAGAGAGAGAGAGAGAGATAGGGAGAGAGAGAGAGAGAGAGAGAGAGAGAGAGAGAGAGAGAGAGAAATGTTACCCCTCCATTTGCCAAGGCAATGGCCATGATTGCAGCAGCCTCCATCACCCATGATAGGGGATTCCACATAAAACCCAAGAACTTGAGCACCTTGTTTTCCTGTTAAAAGATGTATCACAAGATTTTTCCTTTGAAAACCAATATTAGGGACAGAAATATGCTCGAGAATTACCTTCTTTTCTTCGAGCTTGTTTGGCCCGAAGATCTGAATCCTTTTCTGCCCTTCTTCGCTTGACAAGCCCTCTTTTGTGCAATTCAGTTGTTCGAACACTTCCTGAATTGGAATGCGCTCCTGCAATGCAAAGGAAGGCAAAGTTAATGACTGATATTCCTTAACAACTCAATTACTTGACATAGTCGTCTTCTCTTCAATTTTTTACTTGAGTTAGTCGTCTTCTCTTCAATTTTCAAAATTTTCTCAGCCATCAAACAAAGTCCGAGGGATATTACGCCAAAAACACCTCATCAGAATAGAATTTTAATCCTCAATATTTATAGTTATTATTCCAGGATTACAAAAGACAATCATCCAACGATTCATCAACTGGATCTGCCATGAAACCCAAGA